AAGGTCTTGATAAAAGTTGAAAGAGCAAATAAAAAATGAGGGTTACAGAATTCACTGAGGAGTGAGATAATATAAAAATGCAGCTACAGCTTTTTTTCCATAAGTCCATAAGTCGAGCATTAAAGAATCCTAGTCAACCACAATRCACTGCGCGACTATGTTATTGTTTACATTGTTTGTCTACATCGCTAGCTCTCGAAGTACTTCCAAGCTCTTTAATATGGAGCAAAAATTTTGCATCATTGCAAAAGTGCTCAAAAGTTTACCAAAGTTTTCTTACTTTCATTCCATAGCAATTAAGTAGCTGTATTTTTCAGAGAGATCGTAATTGTAACATTATGACTTTTTGGTCGTTCATCTGGAAGCCATCGCAACTTTTGAAATCTCACGGAAAGCATAATGTGGCCGTAAATAATGTGGTCGTAAATCATCCAGCAGGAATAACAAGACCGATAAAACTGCATTCTAAAACTTAACCTTCAAATTAAACACGCCACGAGTTTACCTGGCAGAGAAAATGGCGCATTGCATACCAATATGTATGGTTGTATATTAACGACTTGAACATTTTGGCTCAAATTGGCCGCCACCATGAAACATTCGGTAACTCTTTGAATTGAGTACAACCTAGATTTGAAGTTTTTATCCAAATACGTGTTTTCATTTTGAATTTACCATCAATTTTTTACCAAATTTGCTACATTGACAACTTATCTAATTCTTTAAAACCTTTTGAAATAGAAAATGGGGGCCAACGATTTTGTTCAATCAACCTCGACTTGCAAGTTTGTAATGGGGTAATGCTTTGCCATTACATTATTTCTTTATAATGTTTGCGTATGAGAATATTGTACACATAAATATGAGACGGTACAGTCAAGTAAAGAATTTTATTCTCAAACGAATTAATGACATGATTTAAAATAAGCAAACATTACTCCCAATCAAAAGGTGTCTATTGATACTATCTGGCGTAATGTAGACGATAGTCAAAGTCGGTCAAGCGTAACGTACTCCAAGTTAAAGTTAAAAACAACTATGCATGATTTAAACCTCACTTAAAAATGAAAACAGAAAGATTCTTAAGCTAGCACGTTTCTGTGGATTGTTACAGAAGCAAAGTCCAAGGTAGCTGTTCGTCTAGTGGATGGTAAGACTCCTAACGAGGGACGTGTTGAAGTAAGATACAAAGGTACTTGGGGTACAATATGCAATAGTTACTGGGACATATACGCTGCTTACGTGGTGTGTCACATGTTGAATTACTCCAAGGCAGTTACAGCAACAACTGCTAGAGTCAAAGGAACTGGTTCTATATGGCTTAAATTAAGAGGTGGTGGTTGCTATGGACACGAAAAATCTATCGATCAGTGTCTTCATGCTGGCTGGGGTAACACTGGTGGATGTGATCACAGCCGTGATGCTGGAGTGGTATGTGGCAATTATCTAACACCAGGTACAACTAGATAAGTTATAAAACAATAAAACTGCATTCTAAAACTTAACTTCAAATTAAAAACGCCATTTTACCTGGCAGAGAAAATGGCGCATTGCATAGCAATATTTATGGTTGTATATTAACCACTTGCAAATTTTGGCTCAAATATTTGCCGGTTTGAATTGAGTGCAACGTAGATTTGAAGTTTTTATTCAAACTTGTTTTCATTATGAATTTCACATCATTTTTTTACCAAAATTCGTATATTGACAACTTATCTAATTCTTTACAAATTATTGAAATTGAAAATGGTGTCAACGATTTTGTTCAACCAACCTCGACTTGCAAGTTCGTAATGCTTTTCCATTAAATAAATTCTTTATGATGTTTGCGTATTAGAATACTGTACACATGAATATGAGACGGTACAGTCAAGTAAAGAATCTTATTCTCAAACGAATTAATGACATGATTTGAAATAAGCAAACATTACTCCCAATCAAAAAGTGTCTATTAATACTGTCTGGCGTAATGTAGACGATAGTCAAACTCGGTACAACGTAACGTACTCCAAGTTAAAGTAATAAAGTTACAAAAAGTACATGATTTAAACTCCACTTAAAAATGAAAACAGAAAAGACTCTTAAGCTAGCACGTTCCTTTTTGTTAAAGAAAAAAAGTCCAAGGTAGCTGTTCGTCTAGTGGATGGTAAGACTCCTAAAGAGGGACGTGTAGAAGTAAGATACAAAGGTACTTGGGGAACCATATGCAATGATGCATGGGACATATACGCTGCTTACGTGGTGTGTCACATGTTGAATTACTCCAAGGCAGTAATAGCAACAACTGCTAGCGTCAAAGGAACTGGTCCTATATGGCTTAAATTAAGAGGTAGTGGTTGCTATGGATCCGAAGAATCTATTGATCAGTGTCTTCATGCTGGCTGGGGTAACACTGGTGGATGTGATCACAGCCGTGATGCTGGAGTGGTATGTGGCAATCTAACACCAGGTACGACTAGATAAGTTACAGAACAAAACATTTATATGATCTTTGTTTATCTATTCAATCATGCCAAGAAACAATATTTTAAAATCATACACTGAAAATTATTGCATTAGTTCGTTGCTATTTTCATCAAATATTCAAGTTACGTTTAGTGACCACGTTGATTGGAATAGCTATCTATATATGGAGTATCTTTACTCTCTGCACATAAAATCAAGCAATGTTAGGATTGTGATTAGGATGTTGTTTGTTTATTGAACAATATTTGTTTCAGAGAAGAAAGCGATCAAAGTTCGTCTGGTTGGAGATCAAAACCATACTGGCAAAGTAGAAATACTGTATCAAGGGACCTGGGGAGTAGTATGTCATAATTGGTGGGATATACGAGATGCTCACGTGGTCTGCCGAAAACTTGGTTACAAAGCAGCTGAACACGCAATTCAGTCCATTGAAGAAGAGACACCAAGAACAATACTCATGGATGATGTGGAATGCAGTGGTAGAGAAAAGTCGATAGCAGAGTGTTCTCACAGTGGATGGCGGATTGTCTCTTCATATTGCACGAATAAAGATCTTGCTGGTGTGGTTTGTCAGACAAATGAAGGTAAGAAAGACAAATCTCTACTTTAATCTGATCATTCAAATATCATCACATAATAGCAATCCATTTAAATAGTTCATTTGTTGATCAGACAATAGCTTTAGTAAAGCTCTACTTATTCTCTTTCAAACACTTGACCAAGTGTCAATTGTACAATGACTTCAATGATGTTGGTACAAATCTACAGATCCTTCACCAGTTCAAGTTCGCTTAGCTGGAGGAAGGTCAGACAATTCTGGTCGACTTGAAGTCAGGTACCATGGTCAGTGGGGTACTGTATGTGATGATGGATTGGACATGAAAGACGCTGAGGTGGTGTGTCGAATGCTTGGTTACCCTGGAGTACAGGAATACATAACCACCAAGTTTACACCCGTCAAGGGTATAATATGGCTGAGATACGTCGATTGTACAGGAAGAGAAACGTCGATTACAGACTGCAGTATCAATGGATGGGGAAATACGATCTGCTACCATAGTGAAGACGTTGGTGTGACGTGTAAGATGGGTACGTTATTGAAAAAAACAAATGTGTACCGCCTCGAATTTCATGTCCCGCATCTACTGCAAATTAATTCAAGATCAAACAACAGGTTTTGCTCATTTATATTGAAATTGAACACATTTTAAATTTGATTTTTAAACTGGGCCGTACTTTTGTATTGTAAGTGACAAAATTTTAGTTTTGTTAGACTTTGCTTTGTTATTGTAAAATATTATTCCCTAAAACTCTGGCGCACCGTTTTTATTTCTAACAAAGAAGTGAAAAACAAAAATACTTTGACCTTTCTCTTAATTTTGAAGGTGCAGTTAGAAGGACAACACAAGAACCTACAACTACTAAACCATTGCTGACCAAACCACTGACCAGGCTAAGGAAAAATCAGATGCATAAATAACTATGTTATGAAAGTAATATAGCACTTACTTTTTAACACTTCACACTGTGCATCTTTTTAGCAGCGTCACTGAGAGGCCAACAACAATTAAGAAACAAGCACCTACAACTACTAAACCATTGCTGACCAAACCACCGACCAGGTTAAGGAAAATCAGTTGCTTCAAATGTTATGAAAGTAATGTAGCACTTACCTTTTAACACTTCACACTGTGCATCTTTTCAGCAGCGTCACTGAGAGGCCAACAACAATTAAGAAACAGGCACCTTCAACTACTAAACCGTTGCTGAGCAAACCACTGACCAGGTTAAGGAAAAATCAGATGCTTCAAATGTTATGAAAGTAATGTAGCACTTACCTTTTAATACCTCACATTGTGCATCTTTTTAGCAGCGTCACTGAGAGGCCAACAACAAATAAAAAACAGGCACCTACAACTACTAAACCATTGCTGACCAAACCACTGA